GGAAAGAGGGGTGAGAATGATGGAAGGAGACCCCTCCTGGAAGCCTCCCAAATCCTGAATCCCCATTTGGGGCAAATAGAGATTGCCCTCACCTGCCGGCAGACCCGGGACTTCTCCAGGAGAAACTGCTCGATGCGTGCACTTTCGATTACCCCACTGGGGTTGAAGTAGATGTCAATGTACTTCCCAAAGCGGCTTGAGTTGTCATTTCGGATTGTCTTGGCGTTTCCAAAGGCTAAGGGCCAGAGGATGGTGCCCATGATGGGAGCAGAGAAGAGAAAATGAACTTTTTAGCAGTGTCTTCTGGGAAGGCTTCTCAGAGGAGGTGGTGAAGCCCAGAATTGAAAACTAGGTAGGATTGCACTGGACTGTGGTGGCAACCAAGGGTACGCTCAGAGGCAGGCAAAGTGCAGGTGCGGATCTGGAGGTCAGAAAGCATGGAGTGTGCTTATAGAATGGGATCTTGGCTGGAGCACAGGATCCAGGAGGAAGGCAGTGGGAGACAGAAATAACTCACTAGTAGATGGGCTTAGCACAGAGCCTTGAATGCCAGGCTTACTCAGACTTGCTTCCTCTGAGCCCCAGCATCAGGGGTTTTGGGGGACCCAGACACATACAGGGAGGAACTGGGTTGTCTGCCATCAGGGAAGGAACTCAGGGGTGGCTTTCTCCCAGATAGGGGTGCTTGCAGGGGTCATTGTGCTGTGCTGGGACCTCCCCTGTCCCAGGGCTGACTGGCAGCCTTATCTGAGTCTCCATCAGCCTGGAGCACACTGTTTGCTCTGCCCTAGGGGGTTCCCTGAGACCCTGCCCCATCCAATTTGCAGCCCCACCCAACCTGTTTACAGCAGCTTTTCCATATGTATGGCCTGTCCTGGTTCAGGCTTCAGACTTTGCTAAAATCTCTAAACAAGCTGCAACTGGTGACAACATGCTCCAAACATATCAATAAAAGGCCTAAGACCCAGCACTAGCACCAGCCTGCATTGCTTCACAGCTGGGCCTCACTTGGGCACCTCTAATCCCAATACAAATAGCAAATAACAGCCATCTGCAGATCCCTCTGTAGCTCCTGCTGGGTGGCCCCAGGGAGTGGCTGACTTTGCACCTCTCTGGAGGCCTTAGAGTCAGTGAACCCAGTGGACAGTTTCAGACGATAGCAAATTACAACCCTACACATCCACAAGTGACACACTCAAGGGGCAGACTCAGTGAGCACCAAGGTCCCACTGAAGCAAGTCCTGCTCCATAGGAGTGTCTCCTGCACAGCAGCTCTCCTTCTGTAGTCCCAGCTGGTCCTCACAGCCAATTGGCCTGGAAGCCAATTCCTCCCAGTGACACCAGCAGCAATCAAGCTCAACTACAAGACTGTGCACACATCCCACATGGGTGCACCTAGTGTGCCCAGCCCAGGTGACTGGGGAGGCTGAGCCACTGGGCCCTACAGGACACCTACTACACAAAGCTACCAATTCCAGGAGACATGGCAGCTCTACCTAATACATAGAAACAACC